AGTGTTTATCAGATTTCTCCACTGTAAAGTTACTCCTCCCAATCTCCTTTCATTAGTGTACTCTTTAACAGGATAGTCACTATGCACAGCCCACGCTCAAGGAGTGAGGAGTTATGCTCTACCTTGTTGAAGATGGAGTATCAACATATATTATTTGGAGTTCTTTTGCACAGGAGATTTGTCTCTTCACCATTCATTTATTTATTCAACAACTTATTTAAACCATATGGAGCCATGGGTATTTATTTTATAATTGGGTTATAATCCAGTAGTACCTTACACTTATTTTCTTGCTCAAATTTGTCCACCTTTCACCACTAGGAGTTCTTTCAGTTGGCTCCTACATCCCTCTGACATAGTCTCATCATTATGAGTTTAAGCACTTTCTTACTTTTTGGCACTACAAGATGCTCTATGCTGATCTTACATATTGCTTGCCCCAGTCCTTGATTCAGCCATTTCTCCAAGGAGCCCTGGTTTCTTTTCATAGAGAGCTGTATTAGAAGCCAAGATCTGGGAAGCAGGTGTGCTCTTGCTACTGGGATGTCACTGCTTCCTGGAGGGCCTGTTTTTAATTGAATTTTATGTTATTTTGGGATAACTTGCATAACAAGATATAGAAATACTTTCATGCATAGACTGTACTAGACCTACAGAGTTTTAAAATCAGTTAATGCAATTATAGATGCATTTAACATCATTTTACAGATTTATTTTGAAAATAAGCTGAAAACCATAAAGGAGACTGAATTTTTTTTAAATATAAAATTGGGACATGTCCTTTTTTTTTTTTGAAAAAGGAAAGAGGGACAAATGCATAATGTCAGAAATACAAATGAAATGTCATTATGATTTCTGTAGGTCAGCAAGCAGTTCATCAACTTTTTGGTCTCAGGACCCCTTTACACTTTTAAAAAATTATTTGAGAGAGGTTTTACCTGAGTTATTATCTATTGATATTTACCAAATTAGAAGTTAAATGTGAGAAATGCTTAAAATATTTATTAATTTATTTAAAAGGATAAGCTTATGATGTGTTAATATAAATTACATCTATATGGAAAAAAACTGTTTAAAAAAAACTTATTTTCCAAAAAACTTGATTAAGATAAGCGACACTATATTTCTGTAAATATCTGTAATTTCTGGCTTTCTAGAGGACAGCTAGATTCTTAAGACTGATTCTGCAATATGCTGTTTTGGTTAAAGTATATAAGCATATGAAGAAAATCTAGCCTCACAACAGATATACAGTTGGGAAAGAGAATATTTTAATAATTATTTCAAATAACTGTTGATATTCTTGAAACTACACCTGAACTCAACAAATGGTATTTTCCTGAAGGCTACACTGTGGATTCTAAAACTGTACCAATGAACTTTTCATGTTCTATTACATTAAAATCCACTGATTTATCTTGCACTTAGAATGGATCTTTTACCCATATGTGATTTAGTATCATTACACATTGGTCATCTGGAAAATACTAATTCACTGAGTTATGCAGGTGATCCAAATTGACACAATTCAGAATATAATATGAAGAAAAAGAAAATCACATTCTTTAATATCATTACCCACTTCACAAGAAAAGCCTTTAAGTATCTGGGAAGCTGTCAAGCTCACAGTATTAGGTAAAAGTTCCAAAATTCTAAATCTTACTTGAAAAAAAAATTTTTTTAAGATCGGCTACAAATACAACTGTTTTTCTTGAAGTGTTAGGCCCACTTAGTTCACTTTTGAGAAAAACAAATGTCAAATACATAAGTTCAAATAATTGAAGTTTGCCTATCCTGTTTATTCAAGGGGGAAAAAAGGAGGTGTTACAGAAAAAAGCAGCTAGTTCAGCTCACATCTCAGTTGAGCAAGCACTTTTTCTGAAGATGATGATCATGCTTCAGTACACAGGACGAGTACTCAAAGTCAGGATCTAATGAAATTAATATTTTTGGGCGCCTGGGTGGCTCAGTCCACTAAGTGTCTGCCTTCGGCTCACGTCATAATCCTGGGGTCCTGGGATCGAGTCCCACATTGGACTCCCTGCTCCGCAGGGACTCTGTTAATCCCTTTACCCCTCCCTCGTGCCTGTGATCTCTCTCTCTCTCTCACCTTCCCTCTCTCTCAAATAAAATCTTAAAAAAAGAAATTAATATTTGTATTACTTCATCAAGGACATTCTTTTCTTTTTTAAAGCAGGGGAGGGGCAGCGGGAAAGGCTGAGCAGGGAGTCCAATGAAGGACTCGATCCCTGGGCTCTGGGATCATGACCTGAGCTGAAGGCAGACACTTAACTGACTGAGCCACCCAGGCGCCCCACATCAGGCCATTCTTAATTAAAACTGGATTTAAAAAAAAAAAAAAAAACTATGAATGCATGGCAATGAAAAATATAATACATCAGTTTGGTGCCACTGCCTTAATTTGTGTTAAGGTGTTAGCAGTTTTATTCACCATTGCTTTTAGAGCATCACTGCAAATGTCAACAGAGTAGAAAAGAAAAAAAAATCTTTATTATGAAAATAGTTTTGACCTCCCAGACCACCTGATCTCGGGGACCCACATAGGTCCACAGAACAGTTTGAAAACTGCTCAAAATTACATATTCCAAGGATAAGATTACAATAATATCATACCAAAAAATTAAGAGATTTTAGATGAAATAGATAAATTCCTAGAAAAAATTAACTTGCCTAATCTAATTCAAGAGGAAGCAAAAATATGAATAGCCTTAAAATCTTAAAATAATCAGGAGTCAAAAATTCCTCCCATAAAGAAATTCTAGGCCTAGATGGCTTCACAGATGAATTCACAATTAAGAAATAATTTTACACAACATATTCCAGAAAATAAAGATACCCTCTCTAACTCATTTTGAGACTTGTATAACCTTGATTCCAAGCACAGCACAAAAGAAAATTAGAGGCTGACGTCCTTCATGAACACTTGTACAAAAATACTAGCAAACAACGTCAAAGGTTGGTTTAACATTAGAAAAACCAAAATAATTCTCCATATTAATAAACAAAAGAAAAAAGTATCAATATTAATAGTTTCAGAGAAGATAAATCTTTTCAGAGCCTTCTCTCAACAGAAAAGTAAGCTTTAAGGCTGCTTTGGGAGATCCAAGTAGCCAAAAAGGACTAGCTTCCTGGCCTCAAGGAAAAAATGAAGCTGCAGTACTCTCAGAAAGAGGAAGCCTCTGCAAGAATAAGGGGCTACCAGGATCACTTTTTCTAAAAGAAAAAAATGAGGGTCAAAATCCTAAGCAAGATTTTCTTTTATGTTTCATATTAAATGTGGTCATGCTTGGTGTGCCCTCACACATCCGTTCCAACAGTCTAACAAACGTCTTGTAACAATCAATTTGTAAGACAAAGATGGCCTATAATGTTGCCCCCAACTTACTACGAGTCATCTGCACTAAAGGGGAGATGAATGGTACAACTGTTCTTTCACTAGTTCAGAATACCTGGGTATACTCCCCTTTTCCCCTATCTTATTGCTACTCACACAAGGGCTCCCTACCTAAAGGAAGTAGTACTCTTTCCACTGCCACAGATACTAAGCAAGTTCAGGAAAACCCATCTTGTCCAATTTAAAACAGACCTTAAGTTGGTTAAATCAGAAAATTAAGTGTGTGTGTGTGTGTGTGTGTGTGTGTGTACCTTACACACAAAAAAAGGAATGAATTATCCAAACTTATAGAATTAGGAGCCTTATTTAATGGATGCCTGCTGGTGGGAATTCTGCGCCATATTTATTACATAAATCTTACCTAAATGTACGTTTATTTGAAATGGATCAAGGATTTCCATTTCTGGCAACATGGTAGGTTAGATACCCAGACTGGATCTATTGCCTAAATCTAGAATGCTGTATAAATATTTCTTTAGTATTTTTAAATTTCCTAATTTGGCACAAATGCACACAGAAGCTCTGGAAGGTGGCTCTTGACTTTCAGGTCACCTCACAACACTACTTTGAAAACTACAGTGCTGGTGCTGGAGGCAGGCTGTATACCCTGAGACTCTCCAATAGGGGAATGTAATCAAAGAACTTTGCGTGTAGCTGAAAATCCAAAAGGCTACACCTGCAAAGTAGAGCTGAATGAACGGTAAACCTACTTAGCAGAAGCTGAGAACAAGCACACTTGCCTCCTTGACCTTGGTGCTGGCAGAAGGATGAAAAATATCTCCTGTAAGAATTTATAACTACAAGCAAGGCTTAAATGAATTTGTAGAAAAGGAAAAAGATGAAAAGGGGGAAGAAACATGGAAAATAGATTAAGAAGGCCTAATATATGTCATCAGAATTATAGAGCCCTTGTTTCCAAGATGACCATGAAAGGAAGGTACAATGGTTGTGTCAAAAAGGGCTGCAGCCATATACAGCCTACTTGCTACATTAACTGCATCCAAGGCTTGCAAAGGACAAGGTCATTAAGAAGTTCATCATTGGGGACGCCTGGGTGGTTTAGTCGGTTAAGCGTCTGCCTTAAGCTCAGGTCATGATCCCGAAGTTTTTTTAATGAAAAAAAACAAAAATACTGTATATCAAAACTTGTAGGAAGGAGGCTCAAATGACACTTAGAGGCAAATTTAAACACTAAAAATCCAAATTCAAGTCCTTGTAAAAGGACAGAAAAAAACAAAAACCTAAAAAGTTCTGAGAAAGTAGAAAGAAATAATAAATAGCAGGACCTAAAAGGACATAAAATATTTACAAGATGATAAACTAGAAGTTCATTCTCTGAAAGAGTAATTAAAATAATAAACCTCTGGAAAAACTAATTGGGAAAAAGAAAAACTAAAAAAAAAAAAGGAAGGAAACATGATTACAGATGTTACAGAGATTAAGCTGATAAGAGGATACTGTGGACAATTTTATGGCAACAAATTTGAAAGTTTGGAAAGATCTTTTAAAAGTTTTTAGAAAATACAATCTATTAAAAATGAATCAAAAAGATTTAGAACTCACACTTTCCAATTTTGAAACTTACCATAAAGCTACTGTCATCAAGCATCAAATCACCAAGAGTGGTACTGGCTAGAAGAGAAATATAGATCAAATGAAACAGAATTGAGAAACCAAAAATAAATCCATATATTTATAGTCAAAAAGGGAGCCTAGATAATTTGATGTGAGAATGGTCTCTTCAACACATGATGCTGGGACAACTAGATTTCCAATTGCAAAATAATAAATTGGAACCTCTACTTTATACTATAAATAAAAATTAACTCAAAATGGATCAAAGACCTAAATGTAAGAGCTAAAACCATAAAACTCTTAGCACACAAATCTTCATGACCTTTAGGCAAAAGTTTCTTTGATATGATACCAAAATCACAAACAACAAAAGAAAAAACAGATAAACTGGACTTCATCAAAATAAAAAACTTTTGTGCTTCAAAGGACACAGTGAAATAAAATGAAAAGACAATCCAAAGAGCTGGAGAAAGCATCTGGAAACCATATATCTGAAGAGTCTAGTATCCAGAATATATACAGAACTTTTACAACTCAACAATAAAAAGACAACTCAATTTTAAAATGGACAAAAGCTTTAAGTATATATTTTTCCAAAGAAGTTATACAAATGGCCAATAAGCACAGGAAAAGATACTCAACATCACTAGTCATTAGGAAAATGCACATCAAAACCACAGATTCCACTTCACACCCGCTAGGACGGCTATAATCAAAAAGACAGACAATAACAAGCGTTGGCCAGGATATGGAGACACTAGAACCCTCACACACTGGTTTGTGGGACTGTAAAATGGTGCAACTGCTTTGGAAAACAGTTTGGCAGATGCTAAAAAGGTTAAATATGGCGTTACCATATGAGCCCAGCAATTCTATTCCTAGATACATGACCAAAATAACTGAAAAATCTGTGCACGCAAAAACTTGTATTTGGAGATTCATAGCAGTATTCATAATAGTCAAAAAATAGAAACAGTCCAAATGTGTGTCAACTGATTAATGGATAAACAAAATGTGGTATATGCACACAATGTAATAATATTCTGACAAAAAAGGAAAGATGTACTGATATTGGCTACAATGTGAATAAACTTTGAAAACATTACACTAAGTGAAAGATCCTAGACAAAAAAGGCCACATATTATATATTTCTATTTATAGGAAATGCCCAGAATAGGCAAATCTATAAAGAAAGTAGATAACTGGTTGTCAGGGATGGGGTAAGGGAGAAGAGAGAGTGACTGCTAATGGGTACAGGGCTTCTTCTGACGATGATGAAATGTTCTAGAATCAGATATTGGAGATGGTTATACAATTTTGGAAATATTAAAAATAACCTGAATTTTACATTTTAAAGGGGTGAATTTTATATGTGAATTATATATCAGTTTTTAAAGGGCAAATAAATCAACTGAGCATTTAAAAATAAGAAAAAGAGAATCTAAACAGAAAAATAATTATTAAAAAAAATCAAACAGTGGGGCGCCTGGGTGGCTCAATAGGTTAAATGTCTGCCTTTGGCTCAGATCATGATCCCCGCATCGAGAACCGCTTTCTCCCTCTCTTCCCCGCTCATGCTCTCTCTCTTGCTCTCTCTCTCAAATAAAAAAAACCTAAAAAAAAAAAAAAAAAAAAAAAAAAAAAAAACAGTTACAGTTTAAAATCTTTCCACTAAAAAAATCATCAAACCCAGATAGTTTTACAGGTAAGTCCCACTAAATGGTGGAGGAAAAACAAACTTAAAAAAATTTAAAAATTACAATTTTAAACAAATTCTTCTAGAGAATAGTAAAAAAGAAAAACATGTTCTAATTCATATCAAAATCCAACCAGGATAAAGGATGCCAACACCATTCAATGGAGGAAAAGACCATGGTTTCAACAAATGGTGCTGAGATAACGAGATATCCACATGCAAAAGAATGAACTTGGACCCTTACCTTACAGTTTATTCAAAAATTAACTCAAAATAAAGTCCTAAATATAAGACCTAAAAGTATAATACTCTCAGAAAAAAGCTAGGGGTAAAGATTCATGATACTGGATTTGAAAATAATTTCTTGGCTATGATACTAAAACCAGAGGCAACAAAAGTAAAAACAGATAAATTGAACTACATCAAAATTAAAAACTTGGGTGCATCAAAGGAAATAATTAACAGCCTGAAAAGGCAACCTATGACATAGGAGAAAATATTTACAAATCATATATCTGATAAGGGTGTTAATATCCAGAATATATAAAGAATTCCTACAACTCAGCAACAACAGTAACAACTACACAAGTAACCTGATTAATGGGCAAAGGACTTGAACAGACATTTCTCCAGAGAAAATACACAAATGGCCAACCATTATAGGGAAAGATCCTCAACAACACTAGTTACTAAGGAAATGCAAATCAAAACTACAATGAGGTACTACTTAACAACCATTAGAATGGCTACTATCAAAAAAACAGAAAATGGGGGTGCCTGGGCAGCTTCAGTCGGTTCAGCATCTGACTCCTGATTTCGGCTCAGGTCCTGATCTCAGGGTCCTGAGATGGCGCCCCAAGCCCCACAGCAGGCTCTGCTCCCAGCAGGGGACCTGTTTCTCTCCCTATCCCTCTGCCCTCCCCCTGCTTGTGTGCACACACACGCACACTCTTTTTCTCAAATAAATAAATCTTTAAAAAAAAAAAAGAACGGGGGCGCCTGGGTGGCTCAGTTGGTTAAGCGACTGCCTTCGGCTCAGGTCATGATCCTGGAGTCCCGGGATCAAGTCCCGCATCGGGCTCCCTGCTCGGCGAGGAGCCTGCTTCTCCCTCTGACCCTCTCCCCTCTCATGTACTCTCTCTCTCATTCTCGCTCTCTCAAATAAATAAGTCTTTAAAAAAAAATAATAAAATAAAAAGATAAAAAAATAAAATAAAAAAAAGAACGGAAATAAGTGTTGACAAGTATATGGAGAAATTGGAACCCTTCTGTACTGCTGGTGGGAACATAAATGGTGTAGCTGCTATGAAAAACAGGACTGCAGTTCCTTAAAAAATTAAAAATAGAATTACCACATTATCAGCAATACCAATTCTGGGTCTATATCCAAAAGAATTTAAAGAAGCATGTAGAAGAGATATTTGTACATATGTGTTCATAGCAGCATTATTCACAATAGCCAGAAGGTGGAAGCAACATACTTGTCCACTAACAGATGAGCGGATAACAAAATGTTTATACATACAATGGTATATTATTCAGCCTTAAAAAGGAAATTTTGGTACATGCTACAACATTATGCTAAGTGAAAAGCCAGACACAAAGATAAATACGGTATGATTTCATTTCTAGGAGGTATCTACAGTAATCAAACTCATAAAAATAGAAAGAATGGTGGTTGCCAGGGTAATGGGCAGGAGGAGATGAAGAGTGTTTAATGGGTACAGAGTTTCAGTTTTGCAAGATGAAAAAGTTCTAGAGATTAGCTTCACAACCAATGTGAATATACTTAACACTACACTAAACCATACACTTAAAAATGGGTAAGATGGTAAACTTTATAATAGGTATATTTTAACACAACTAACATTTAAAAAGGTATGTTAAAAACCTGATCTGGAAAATATAAGAATGGAAAATTAAAAGCCAATTGGACTCATGAACTCTAATATAAAAATCCTAAACAAAATGTAAGCAAACTAGATCCAATAATTTATAAAAAAGATAATCCATACATGACTAAATTGAGTTTATCCCAGCAATGCTGAGTTAACCGAATCTGAAAATCAATGTAACTGACTACATCAACAAATTAAGGGGAAAACATTTTAATCATTGCTGAAGTTATACAAAAGCCTTTCAATATAGTTCAACATCTATTCATGATTTAAAATGAAGAGATAAAAGTCCTAGCCAGGTAAGAATAGAATGAAACTTCTTTAATTTGGTAAAGGCCATCATTTAAAAAAATGACAAGTATCATTTTAAATGGTGAAATTTGAAAGCATTTTTTTGAGGTCATGAACAAGACAAGAAACAGAACTGAGTATGTGAGATATCTAAGATAGTACAGTAATGATTCAGAGCTAAACAAAATCAGTGGTACAGAAATAAAACTACCTATATATGAAAACTTGATTTATGACAGGAAATTTCACATATCAGGGAAGAAATGAAGAACAATTTTAATAAACAGATGGAAAGAGTGAATTCATAACCCATACCTGTAACAAAAACCAACTACTAGGAGATTTGAGAATTAAATGTGAAAGGCAAAACCATAAAGCATTTAGTTGATAGAGAACGCCATCAAAAGTTTATCAAGGTATACCATGAGAATAACCAACCGAATTCAATATTGAAATTACTTTAATCTTTTAATTTCCCTCCATATTTTATAAAGTAATCAATTCAACAGCAATTTTATCAAAGCAAGTAGACTATCTGATTAAGAATATGATGTTAATGTAATACAGAGCTGCCAATGTCCAATGACTTCACATCTTAAAGATATTGCACATTTATGCTCTCATTTAAGTTCAATGTGTTACTGTCAGGATTTGTTAGCAAGGGTAAAAAAACAAAAAGCCTCACGGTTCATTCAGTAAGTGTCTATACCAATGTATGTGGCTATATCTCATTTCAAATATTAGCAATGATGTCCATGGTAAAATCTAAATAGTGTTTCAGGTAAATGGCCTTGTTAGTTGGAGGACACTTCCCACTGTTCCTTGAACCAGAGATCCAAAGGCTGGTCTTTCCAATTTGGCATTTTTACTAAATGCCAAACCTATCTTGGGATGCTTCAGGGAAGAAACACAATGTATTAAGATAAGATCTCCCTTGGGAAGAGTAAGAACTATACAAAAAAAAAAAAAAAAAAAAAAGGGGTGGGGAGGAAAAAAAAAAAAAAAAAAAAAAAAAAAAAAAAAAAGGGTGTGGAGGGCAGAAATGGACCAAATAGATAACATATTCTTAGGACTTTCAAATAATTTTGAAACTAAAAGTGCCCAAGATATAATTACAAGGAACACATCATTCACTTGGGGAACTAATAACACTGTATATATGACTGAAAAG